GGAGCTGGGTGATGCGGCCTTTCCTCACCTGTGGTCACGCACTGTGTCATCACAGGCCTGGATGTTCATCAGGGCCAGGTTCCCTCTCCCATGGGAACCCTCAGCTCTAGGTATCCTATGAGTCTGTGCTCCAGGCCCCACTCTGTGCATAGAGAATGCAGGTCCCCTGGCAGGCTGGTGGTGACTCTCCTTTACCCACCAGCCCCTGTGAGGGGTCTCGGGGCCTCCTTGGTGAGCCACCCAGATGGCTGCCCGTCCACCCAAGTTCTGTCTCCCTTGGACAGAGGTGAGCTCGTTCATCTGTAACTCAAGAGTGCACCACACTTTCTGTGCGTAGATTTGTTTACCCATAGCTCATTGCAATCCACCAAAAGCTGTTGGATGCCCACCCTGTGCCAAGTCCTGAACTAAGGGCTGAGGACGTACTGATGGGCCAGGCCAAGGGGCTGACCTCGGGAAGCACCCTCATGGCCCACACAGGTACAGGACTCGCCAGGCCCTGGGGACCAAACCGCAGAGACAGTGCAGCTCCTGCTCGGTGCCCCCCACCCCCGTCATTTCTGGGAGTCCCGTGGAACCATGACACAGCAGGCAGCCTGGCCTCCTCCCTCTGTAGTGCCTACGACCCACCCTCCTGTGAACTGAAGCAGATAGCCCGCAGCCTGCCGGCCTCTGTCTAGGTGCGTATCAGAGGCAGAACCTGAGCTAGGCTCCGAGACCTCAGCTGCCCTCAGCCTCCTTGATGGGGTACAACCTCCCCGAAGGTCGGCCGTTCACCTGACACCTTTCATGATTTTCACCGTCTCTGTATGCTACCTGTATTCTTAGTTCTTATTGTTTAAAATCTGTTCACATCTGAAAACTTTATTTTGAAGTAATCTTAGATTCATGGGAGTTTACAAAAACAGCAGGGAGCGTTCCCACGGCCCTTCCTCCGGCTTCCAGGTGGTGGCATCTTCCACAGCCAGACTGTGCCCTCAAAGCTGGGAAGCTGGCGTGGGGCCGCGCTGGAGCGTGCTGCCTGCTGCCGGGGAAGTAACTTCCTTTCTCCAGTGTTTACAGCTGCTTTTTCCGTACAGTTCTGTGGTATTCAGTGGCATATACAGATACTTGTCACCACCGCCACCATCAGGTATACAGTTGGCTCTGTCACCAAGACACTCCCTCATGGGACCCTTCCTAGTCACACCGTCCCCAACCCGAAATCCTGACATCCACTGATCTGTTTTTCATTGCTGTCATTTTATCATTTCAACATTGTTACATGAAAAATCTATTCACTTTTTTTTTTTTTTTTTGAGACAGAGTCTCACTCTTGTTGCCCAGGCTGGAGTACAGTGGCTTGATCTCGGCTCACCGCAACCTCCATCCTGGGTTCAAGCGTTTCTCCTGCCTCAGCCTCCCAAGTAGCTGGGACTACAGGCATGTGTCACCCTGCCTGGCTAATTTTGTATTTTTAGTAGAGACTGAGTTTCACTATGTTGGCCAGGCTGGTCTAGAACTCCTGAGCTCAGGTGATCCTCCTACCTTGGCCTCCCAAAGTGCTGGGATTACAGGCGTGAGCCCCTGTGCCCGGCCTGTTCACTTTTTTAGTTAGGTCATTTTCATAGATGTGATGTCAAGGAATGGGTATGCCAGTGACATGTTCCTTGATGCACGTTAGAATGAACGCATGACTGTTAAACATCTCCTGCTCCTCCACACCCGGGGAAGGCTTTGTGAGTGCCTCAGGGGTGCCAGGGGGCTCGTTGGCTCACACAGGTGAGCTCAGGGCCCCTCGGGGTCCAGCCTTGCCTGCAGCAGGCAGTAGCAGCTGTTCCCTGGCTGCCCTGCGGGCCCGTCACTCTGTCTTCAGGGCAGAACCAGCAGATCCAGAGCCCCTGCAAGCCCCCGAAGCCCCAGAAGCCAAGTGGTCATCCCACCTGCAGACCCCGAGTTTGGGGTCGGAGCTGTCCCCGGGCTTGGGTTCCCTCCGAAGCTTTCCATGTCGTGCCCGGGAGCCCCCCATTTTTAGCTGTGCGCCTTCCTTGGTAGACACAGCCGGCTTGGCCAAGCCCATTCAGCTTTTTAAAGAAGAATACTGCTGATTTCTTTTAATGAATCAAATAAATTAATTATAGGCTTTGGATTTGTTAGGTTTATTTTAGAAATCCGTGATCTCAGCCATAAATAGCGCTTCATTCTGGACAAAGGAGCTGAGAAGGCTGCTGCCTGTGGAGGATGGTGGGGAGGCGATGGATGAAGGGTGGGGGAGGCGATGGACGAGGAGGAGGGGGAGGTGATGGACGAAGAGG